AAGTTCGGTTGCAAAAATGAATTAAAGATTCAAACTAATCAATAGTTTGGTATCCGATTTTCACTGCGACAGAAATGGCGACTCTGCTGGGGAACCGTTAGTGGGTTTCCCTATCTTGTTTTTGTTTATATATTTGCTTATATTTGCTTAATTGTTTACTTGTATACTTGTTTATTTATTGCCTTTGGGTTGTTCCTTTGAGTGGTGAGACAAAGTCCTACACCCGGACTTGAGTGAACTTAAGATAGGATGGTGATATATTCGACGCGGCTTATAGGGAGTGAGTCCCAACTAAGTTAACTCGAGAATCCCGCTTAGTTGAGACCCTTTTGAAAATGGTTCGGTTGAACGAGTTTAGTCGTGAAAACTTTGACTATTCTCAATTGGAGTCCATGACACTAAGGACCGTAGTTACCTTTAACCCCACTTTGGCCTTTATTAGGATGTAGTGCAGGACTATGAGGGAGTACACCCGAAATAGTGCTACGCGATGCTACACTCAAAAGAAGTTCTCTTGAGAATATTATTAATCCTCGAGTTAGTTGGGAAATTGATAATATCCGAAAGATGAACTGATGACTTTGAGAACCTCTTTAGAACCTTGTTCTGCAAGTATAATCAACCTTTAGTCCACATCCTTTGAGAATGGGTATACCCTTGCTTCATGCTCGTTGCAAACCTAGGGTCTCCCTTGTCTGTTTTATCTTTATGTGTCCTTATGTGCTTACTTGTGTTTGTTGCATTCATATAGCATAATATTGCATCGGTTTCATGGGATCTCGAGTTTTACTTATAAACATTACAGAGAACCATAGGGATTACAAAAAAAATATATTTTGAAATATTCTTTTAAGAGTCCTAGCTTGGATAACCTAAGGAAGTTAAGGGCGTCGATCGAAGAATCGAGGAAACTCAAAAGACAAATACAAAAGGCTTCCCTTGTCATTGAAGATCAATAGAAGTTCAACATGAACTTTCATGGAAGATCCCAGTAAACAAGGGCTTCCTCCCTTATTTTCCAACAAGAGATAGAGGATTTATTTTCCTCTATCAAACTAATATTTAGATGTTGATCATGGACGACTCATATTTAAGAAGATCCAAGTGGAAGAATAGATCAACAAGCAAGATGAAGGACTTCCTTAGGACTTTTACTAGCTATTGGGTCAGGACTCTTATGAGAATGTTCATTTGTAATCGATATCAAAAAATAATAAACAAGTTTTCTTTAGTATTCAGTAATATTTATAAATACTTGAATTCCATGAAACCTTTCGTTTTGCATTTCGCATTTTACATCAGCATAGCATCCTTTGCATTCTGAGGGGTCTCACTCTTGCCTCGTCTTCACAGACAATCTGAATCACCAATACAACACTCGAGCCAGTCGACGCCAAAAGATGGATCAATTGGAACAAGAGAACAGAGTGCTCTGTGACGAAGTTGCAACCCTGAAGGAAAATTTGGAAAGGTTGAATGGTTTAGTTGAAGCTCTGTCTAACCAGTCTGCACTCAACAATCAAGAAGTTCAAGGGACCGTTATCTCCGAAGTAGTATCAACACCGATCCCAATGGTGTCTACTGTTGCTGAAGTAACCTACAGCACGCCGCCAGGTTTCCTGTGGGGGATGCCTCCTTATTTCACTCCGGCTGGTTATCGTCCACCTGTTCCCGAGGTTCCTGTCGCAACCACTGTTCAAACCATTCCTGCAATTACTGTTGTCATGACTACCGCACCTCCACATGTGAATACTACTCCATATGTCCTAAACGAACCAATTTTCCATAGGGTACCCAGCGAAACTGTGAGTTTGGAAGAAAGTATGGATGGGTTTCAAGGCTAATTTTCTGAGATGCAAAAAGAATTGAGAGCCCTTCGTGGGAAAGATCTGTTTGGAAAGAGTGCTTCTGACCTGTGCTTGGTCCCGAATGTCAAGGTTCCACCGAAGTTCAAGGTCCCTGATTTTGAGAAGTACAAGGGGAACAACTGTCCTCAGAGTCATCTTATAATGTATGCTCGGAAAATGTCTGCCCAAACTTATAATGACCAATTGCTCATTCATTATTTCCAAGATAGTCTAACAGGCACCGCACTCAGGTGGTATATGGGATTGGATAGCGCGAAAATTCAGACTTTCAATGATCTAGGAGGAGCCTTTGTTAAGCAGTATAAGTATAATGTGAACATGGCTCCTGACCGTGATCAGTTGAGAGCCATGGCTTAGAAAGACAAAGAGAATTTCAAGGAATATGCTCAACGTTGGCGCGAGTTAGCTGCTCAAGTCTTACCGCCATTAGAAGAAAAGGAAATGACCAAAATTTTTTTAAAGACTCTCGGTCCATTCTTTTATGAGAAGATGGTAGCAAGTGCACCCAGTGACTTCACCGAGATGGTAAACATGGGCATGCGCTTGGAAGAGGGGGTTCGTGAAGGAAGGTTAGTCAAGGAAGGGAGTGCTCCCAATAATGCTAAGAAGTATGGGAGTGGTTTTATGAAAAAGAGAGAACACGAAGTAAGTATTGTACAGCAGGGACGATCCAAGAGAGGATATCCACAGCCACAAAATCAACAAAATCAGAGTCGTGTAGACAGAAGAGCAGACTTCGATCCCATCCTGATGACATACGTTGACTTGTTCCCATCTTTGATTCAAAAGGGTCACATCCAGACGAGAGCTCCGCCTAAGGTACCCAAGAAACTCCCGTATTGGTACAAAGCTGACAAATTTTGCCTATACCATCAAGGTGCTCTGGGCCACGATACTGAGAACTGTTACGGTTTGAAGGCAGGCGTTCAAAGGTTGGTTAAAGACGGAATTCTATCCTTTAAGGGTTCCATTCCTTATGTGCAAGATAATCACCCACCTCAACATGGTTCGTCCTCCGCGAACATGACCCAAGGTTATTCGGAAAGCCGTATTAATATAGTGCTTGAAGAATGAATCTGGAGGCAACATAGCAGACGATTCTGCAAGCTTCTCCATTCCATACAAAGACTGAATAAAATCCTGAGAGGAGCTCATCAGGGTGTTTTCTTTTGCTTATGCGTATTTCATTTCTTTGATTAAAAGCATGTTTGGCTTGTATGGCTTGTTTATTTTGAACAATTAATGCAATAAAATGTTTGTCTTGAAGAAATCCATTTGTTTCACTCGTAAAACATTTTTTCATAATTTATAACGCCTACTATACCCAATTCTCTCACTTTGGTGAATAATTGGAGGGAGGATGATGAAGTAAAACGCAGGATCTCTAATTGTATGCCTGTCGCACCTCGAAAATTCATTTCGAACAAACGACCCTCGCGCGAAAGGCGCGGAAATGCGGTTCCACAGAGTCGCCACCGAACTTTATTTTTCCCGAATGAACGGGAGAGGAAAATATCGAGAAAACCTCATAAACGCGGAAGGAACACGGCCGTCGCAACCATATTCCTGGGTTCGGGAGTCGGTTACCCGAGGGGAAGGTATTAGCACCCCTCACGTCCGTTGTACTCAACGGGAACCTCTTAATTCGAGTTGTGATGGATGTTAGCTAAACTTAATTCTTCTCTTCTCACTATTAAATGCTAAAGGATACTATAAAGGGATAAAGACACTATGGGAAAGGGGATGGTTAGAAGATAGGGTGCTTGCCAAGGATTGGGGCCCTTGTGCCTACGTATGCTCATTCGGACGAGAATGAGAAATCAGAGCGTCGTAGTTCGACTACGAGAAAGGATGGGGGAAATGGAAGATGGAGTGGATTGTGCTCGCCAAGATCATCGCAATCTTGTGCCTACGTATCTTACATTCAAGAATGAATGAAGAATCAGAGCGTCCATAGTTCGTGGATACGACCACGAAAGAAACGGGTTTGAATTGGATTTGAAGTGGGTATGGATGACGATTACTCGAAGTTTAAGAAAGACTTCTCGGACCCAAGTAATCGAGAGAGCGAACCAAAGACTTGGAATACTCTCTTTTTCATCTTGAAGAATAATGTTATGTTTGAATGGTGTTTGAACCGATGACGATTACTTTAGCTTAAGAAAGATTTCTCGGACCAAAATAATCGGGAAAGCGAACCAAAGACTTGGAACACTCTTTTTTCATCGTAAGAGGAGTTGTGTTTGAAAAGATGTTTGAAATGATGACAATTACTTGAAGTTTAGGAAAGACTTCTCGGACCCCAAGTAACCGGGAGAGCGAACCAAAGACTTGGGACACTCCCTTTTTCATCGTGAAAGGAAAGTCGTTTGAAATGGTGTTTGGGAAGATGAGTAGTTGGAGATAGTTGAATGTTGTCGAGTTGTTAATGTTATTTAAAGGCGTCAATTGCTCACACACGAATAAGATAACTCATATCCAAACAATCGAAAGCAAGCTCAAAGACTTGAACCCACTCTTTACACCTTGAAAAAGCGTTAAATAATTGTTAATTGATTGATAATTTGTTTCGAAAATCCGCTTGACGTTGGATCAAGGGTTTGACTCATTATCGCGTGCAAAGCGTGTTGAAAATGAAATTGTTTGAAAAAAGAGACCGACTTGACTTACGCATCAAGGGCCGAGTTGTAATAGGTTGATGGGGAATGCGTATGAGCACTCGACTTACGGGTGTCATACCCCAAATTTGTCCTACCCGTGTGTAAATTTTATCTGTACACTCATTTCAGGAAAATCCAAAAAAATATAATGTTTTTTCTAGTTATTATAATGATTGAAGTCAAACAAGCACTATTTCAAGGTCAAGATTTCGGTGTGCACTTCAAATGATGTGTATTCAGGGTGACAGTTAAGTTTGGTTTATCAAGTTGGATCAGTTGTGTGTGAGTCAATTTGTCTGGTTGAGATAAGTACAGTGAATCAATGAAGTTGCTTTCTTTATTAGAAAGGCCTGATGTTGTATCTTGGAACATTGTCATTTCAGCCTGTGCTCGGAGCAATAATTATTATGAGGTTTTTGAACTTTTCAAGCGTATGCTTTCCACACACATCCGTCCAGACAAATACTCCTTTATGACTGTATTATGTGTGTGCACCAAACTTTGTAGTTTTGATTTGGGAAGTTCTCTTCATGGTCTTATTGTGAAGACTAATAGTTGTGACTCTTTTTTGGGCAATGTACTAGTTGATATGTATGGAAAGTGTGGAAACATTGAAAATTCAGTGAAAGTTTTTGAAGAAATTACTGACAGAAATGTTATTACATGGACAGCTTTAATTTCTGCCCTCGGGTTAAATGGTTGTGCTCGCGGCGCAGTGAAGATATTCCACAACATGATATTGATGGGATTTAAGCCCGATGCATTAGCTCTCAGAGCAGTGCTTTCTTCTTGCAGATACGGTGGATTAGTGAGTGAAGGGATGGAATTTTTCAAGCAAATAGGAACCATTTATGGGATTCAACCAGAACACAATCATTACCTTTGCATAGTAGATCTCCTTGCTAAAAATGGACAAATAAAGGAAGTTGAAGAAGTCATGGCAAGCATGCCTTTTCCACCAAATGCCCATATATGGCGCAGCTTCCTTGAAGGCTACAAGAAGCAGGAAATTGCAGTTTGACTTGTACAGCAAAACTTATTAATCTTTTGGGAATAATACATGAACCAGCAAGCTAAGCAAATTTGGTGAAGTCAAAGCACTCATATGTTAAACACAATCTTGATAATCTTGTTAATGTCATGGTAATCAGAATCGTGTTTTTATTCCTACAATGCATGATTATGTGATTTTGCTTTCCCTGAAAGTTGGATTATGGCGAAATCGGACGGAATTGCAGTGGTTAATCGTAGAATCGTATGATCTGCGATCTCTTTGTAGTTTCTGAGCAGCAGTTAATCAAAATATTACTCGTGAAATTGTCTGTTGCTCAGTAATTGAAAAAACACGCCCCCACTAGAAATGGAGCATCTGCTGAGGTGCTAACAAGCCTAATGGTGCTTTCCAAGAAAGCTTAAAAATGTTGCAACGTGTTTGTCTCCACTGCGACACAACCCTTATTATCTAGACCAAGGGAAAAACAAACATGGAATCTGAAAAAACTCGGGAACATCTTCGTCATTTTGTGGAGTAAAAGGCAAAACTCCCTGCTCAATGATGACTCCTAGAACACGAGATCTGCCAAAGCAGTACAAAGAAAAACCTGAGCTTGAAGAAACTGAATAATGGAGCAAGTTAATTTATAGTTAAAGAATGTCTACAAACAAGTCCAAAAGCTGATATTTTTGTTCAGTTTGTGCATTATTATCACTATATTTGTGGCAAACAGAAGTATGTGAAGAAAAGGAAAGCTCAGAGATAGGACAGCAATGCAACCTTCACACATACCTCACTAAAGCATTGAACCTGCACGAGAACTGTGAAATACACAATGAACATTCTACCTAATACTCTGTCAAAACCCCACCATTCACACTGTCGTGTGCCTTATACCTCTCACGAAATGCAAGCCCAGTTGGATACTTCAGTTGCGTAACAGGACCTGCCAAATGTTTCACATTGAAGTTATAATGACCAAATTTCATTTGTCTTAATAAAGTTCCAGCAATAAGCAAACTCACTTTAAACAGAGTCCAACTTCATGATGTCTCCTTTGACAGAAACCAATCCAAGTCTTCACTGAGTCTAATAACGAGTCATGTAATATGTACCGTATCGCAGGTCTTGCCGTAGGTCATTATGTCGTCCAGCCACGGTTTCACTCACTACAAGTAATTATACGGTCTAGCTGCGGGTCGAACATCACTTGGTGACCAAAAGGTTTGCCGAATTTCAAATCGTGATCTGACTGCTTCGGTTCCCAGTTCAAACCTGTTAGAAAGAGAGAAAGAGAATTGTGTCAATTTTTGGGGGATTCAAAGAAACAGAGTTACAAGCTTATGAATTCAGGCTCAAGGACGTGAAAAGTGGAAAGATTAATGAGTTCATAAGAATGCTTTCAAGCCATAAATACCAATCTTCAAATTTCTGTTTTCGGGCTCGACGCCCGCATTTTACAAAAAAAGGGACCTGTACCTGCAACTATCAAATCGTGTCCTGCAAAATTTGAGCAAACAATGAGAGCAAAAGAAGACTTTAATATAGGCCTTGGTTTGTCTTGGTGTTCAGTCCACCTTCAGGCAAAGCTTACTCCTCTTGCCAGATTGGTGGCAGCAGCTCTCTATCATAAGCAAAGTCAAAGCGGAAATCAGTGAAAAGAGCAAGTCATCTATTCTAAATATTTGTTCAAGGGCTATAATACACATCAGCAAGATAACAGATAGTAAAAATCACATTTTACTAGCAGTAAAAAAAAACTTAGGAAAATAGGTATTTTGTTACCTCACTACAGACAAAAAGATAGGCTTGAGTTTTTCTTTATTCCCCACATCACACCACGTTCTGACAGGGGACAACCATAGCAGCCAGCAATACATCGTACTACAGAGCAGAGCAGAGCCTCAATTCTTCACGTTTCTCTCCATATAAAACTATGTTAGAGGTTGTAGCAAAGAAAAAAACCCTAATCTGAGGGCAGCCTCCAAACCCTAAGGTTCAAACCTCTTCACCTCCTTCCAAAAGCCCTTCACTCAGCCCTAATCGAGTGAACAAAACCTTCATCCCGTTTCACTAACAAGAAAACCCAACACAAACCCAACATCTTCTACCTCCCACCATTCAAAACTCAGATTTCCATTAACAGAAACTCACATCCAAAACGCCTAAACCATTAACTCACCTTGCAAAACCAACAAACTTCGACATATGAACTTCAAATCACCCAAATCTCCAACTTCAGAACTAAGCTCAACACCCATTTCCACACGGCTTACCTCATTCTCCGACCGAAACCCCCTTTCCAACTTCAAACCATAACAAGAGCAACTCCCTCAAATCTCCAAATTCGCAACCACAAAACCTCATTTTTGAACAAAATCGGAAGTGAAAGATGCAATAGAGCGAGATCAGATAGAGTTCAAGATGGACAAGCAGAAGCAAGAAGGGAGTGAGTGGAGATATTAGAAATAGAGTTTGAGACGAGAACGAACTGAAGGTCGCGCTGCCTTTTTTGTGTTCCCGTCGCTCCGTTTCTCATCTGGTTTAGACCGCCATGTTTGTTCTGCTGTGAGAATGTTGTTGTTAACGTTAAAACAAAACCCTTTTCACTGTTGGCTTTCTTTTCTTTTCATTATTTGGACCGTCTCGTGTGTTTTGAAGCCCCGGTTCATGGTTGAGTTTGTCTCACCCCCCTGTTTTTGTTTCTTCGGCAGGCATTGTTGGATGTGGATGATGGGCTGGGCCCAAAGGATTCCACATCCTTTTTTAGACTATTATTATATTTTATATTTTTATATAACTTTGTAAATATTTTATTTATTGTTATTTCTTTTAAGTTTTTATTTTTTAGAACTTTTTGTATATATATTATATTTAGGAGTTTTCATACTATTTCTTTTAGAGTGTATATATACTATTTTATATTTTGTTTTATTTAGAAGTTGAGTATCAATTTATATTTCTAGTTTAAATATCAGGCTTATAGTTTTTACATTATAGTTAGATTTAATTTCTCTTTTGTTATTGGCCATTTTTTTTTGCCTTTTAGGTCGATGACGAGACCTCCGTAATTCATTACCAGTCAAATTATTGATAGGTAATGTTGGATCTGAGACCACCCCTTTTCTCTCTTCATTATTTGTCCTGACTCGATTCAAAAACTTTGTCAAACAATTTTCACAATCAAATTTCTTCGTATTGAATTAAAAGAGGGGATTAAGTGTAGACTTTCTTCCTCTCTGAGTGTTGGGATGCCCACTGTAGTGCGGGTGGTCCTGACACTCATCTTTCAGTACGAAGACGTTTCCTGTCCATTCTCAAATCTCATCTCCTTAAAATCATTTCTTTGTGTTGGGCTAAAAAGAGGATTGGGTGTAGACCCCTTCTTCTTCGAGCGTAGGGATGCCCACTGTAGTGAGGGTGGTCTCGATGCTCGGCTGTCGATACAAAGGCGCTTCCAACATTTCCTCATAAAACCTCGGTCCCGCACCGAGTACACTTTCAAACTTCTTTTGCAATAAAACTTGAATGGTCGTGGAGTGGTTAGGCGTAGGCCTTCTCCTATCCCGAGTACTGACGTTTACCGTAGGGTTCTCTGTCGCAAAGCACTTACCATTCAAAACCAAAAACATCTTTAATAAGAGAACGAAGTTCTCTTTGCATTGAATTAAAGAGAGAGGATTGGGTGTAGACCTCTTCTTCTCCGAGCGTAGGGATGCCCACTGTAGTGAGGGTGGTTTCGACGCTCGTCTTTCAATACAAAGACGCCTCGTTCGCCACACCTTTTTTTTATATAACAAAAACTTTGAGATAAAGACTTGGGTACTACCCGTAGGGGTTACTATCTGAGGACCTGTCTCGCCCCCTAAAAAACAATTCAATCAATCAAACGTGACTCCTTGCCTCGCGAGGCGAAAACTAATCAATCTTTCAAAAAGGATATGTTACGTCCGTTCTACCGCAAACAGGTAACGCCTAAGTCTCCAACGAGCGAGCAGCAAAACACCTAACTGCTAGAATGCGCACGATAGCATCATCCATAAAAAACATCAACACACCGTAGGCCGAACTACGGCTGCTCTGATTCTTTACTTTTTCAAGTAAAGATACGTAGGCACAAGGGCCACAATCCTTGCCGAGCACACATCCCCCCCATATCTGTAGTTCCCCGAACTACGTCGACTCTGACTTTCTCACATCTATTGAGAATACGTAGGCATAGGGCTGCGAAGTCCTACCGAGTCTGTTCTTTCTCTTTTCTTCCCCGTTCTCTCTTTCCTCCTAACTTTCCTGTTTCTGACCCTTATCTTTTACCCTGTGGAACACTTCTTATAGCATAATACCTTTTAGCAAATAAATTCACACATCGACAAACAAAAGGTTCCCATCGAGTACGATGGATGCGAGGGGTGCTAATACCTTCCCCTCGCATAACCGGCTTCCGAACCCGTTCATGGTTGCGAGACCATCTTATCCATTTCTTTCTTAAGGTTTTCTCGATATTTTCCTTTCCCCTCATGGGATAAATAAAGTTCGGTGGCGACTCTTCTGTCTATCTTTTTCGCCTTCCCGTCGTTGCGCGACGCATTTTTCGAGTAGCGACAGCTGGCGACTCTGCTGGGGACACCTAGCAAGCCAAGCCTATTTTGTTTATCGTATTTGTGTTTTATTTGCTTTATTTGTTTATGCTTTGATTCTCTAACCTGTTGGGTTTATTGGATGGTTTGTGAGATAAAGCTTTCTACCCGAGCTTTCAAGTACACACTAAGATAGGAGGTGGGTTCTTTCTGATTTGCGAGACTTAGGACTCGTTGAGTTGGATCGAATTCCACCGCTCAGATGAGACCCCGTTGGAATGATCATGTCTTACGTGTAGTCGTAATGACGTCTTTATTTCTGATGTGGGAGTCCGCGACTCTGAGGACCTTTGTAGAACCTTATTCCAAAGGTTGCTAAGACATGACTCTGTGTTCATCCTTTGAAGGGATTACCGTCTTACGAGTAGTCGTTATGATGGAAAACTTTCA